TACTCTTATGGCATATTGTTCTAAGTGTTTAATCCTCACAACAACTTTGTAATTAACTACCATTATTATATCTATTATACATATATGGAAACTGAGCACAGAGAGTTTAAATAACTTGATTAAAGTTACACAGCTAATAAATAGCAGAGTTGGTATTTGAACTCAGTCTGGCTCAAATCTGTGTCCTTACATGCTATAGTCTGCTGCTTCCTAGGGTTGTCATGTGATCTAAATGAGATAATGTATGAAAAAACATTTGTATTTTTACCTGGTACATGATAGGAATGCATTAAATTATGGCTATTATTAATACTATTATTGGGGGGAGGTAAAAGCAGAGAAAAGATGTGGTCTTTGTGAATGTGTACCATAGACTGCAAGGCCAGCCACAGAATTTAGAATTGAAATGTAGTGGTGATGACAGCCTCAGATATGCTGACATACCCTAGAGGCTCAGTCAGAAGGTAAAACTATTTGCTGCTGATTGCCTCCCTAACAATTTCATGCTTCAGAAAGTAGGGGAAATGGAGAGGAACTCTTTCTCAGAATTTAACTGTGACTGATTAGAAATAACTCATTAGTGGTCTGTAAGCAACAGAGGCCTTGAGAAAAAAAATGTCTCCACAGTGCTTCTCACCTCGGATGCCACTGACATACTGGGCAGGATGGGACTGTCTTGGACATTGCATTTAGCATCACTAAATATCAGTAGTATACCAAGTTATCCCTCCTTTCCCAAAACTTTTCAACAACTAAAAGTATCCTCAGACATTTCCAGATGCCTTCTGGCAGGCATAGGGTGGTAGCAGTACTGCTATTGAGAACCATTGTTGAGAATGGTAAGAATAAAAAAAGGAATTGCTGAGATTTGTCAGATGTACCTTAAGCCAATGGTTTTCAACACACATGAGCATCATGCTGAAGCAGAAGATGCTCCCATGAGCATACATAGGATCATACACAATTCCCAGGGCTCTAGCTTGAAATAACTACATTTCTCTCCTACTTAAAAGTGTACACTGGTGTACAAGGGGCTCCGTTTTTTTAATCTTAGTGTAACTTTGGTTCTGCTCAAGTTTACCACCCCCTCAAAAAAGATAAATTATTCTTAAACTGTAGCACTTTATTAAACTGACAGCTTGGTGAGGGGCAGACCTTGCATCTCATTAGAACTGCTACCTTAGATTTTTAAAAAATCTTGAAAATGAATATGTTTCCAAGGTCAATACATTTAAAATGGACTGGAACTGAATAGAACTAAATTGGGACTCCATAATTATGAATAGTTACCAGGATTTATAAATAATAAAAGGTAGGAGGAAGCTGAAGAGACCAAATTGGCTTCTAAAACTTTATAAATTTTAGATTTTAAATAGTCAAGACCAGGTAATGGAAGGTCAGGCACGATACGAAAGTTGAATACAAAGAAATGACACAAAACTGTGGGAGCAGTGTAGGGAAGGACTGTGGCCAAATTAGCTGAGATTTGTGAAAATGTAATGGAAAAAAACCCAAAGTGTTTAAGTTTTAAATTATATTTGATATCAGAAGAGGTGGTAGATCTGCAGCACAGGGAACACTGTAATTTTATTGATAAAGAAATTAGGTCGTCTTAACTTTTATTTTGTTTCATCCTTAAACAGAAAAGAGACTCACTTTTCTTGAAATAGGAAAGAGTAGACTAGACTGTATATCATAAAGATGAACTTTTAATCTTGAAGTAGGAAAGAAAATAGTTAAAAGGACATCTGATAATTGCAAATGAGGTTAAATTTTCCAGGACCAGGTCAACTGCATCCTAGCATCATGGAACTACTTGATAGATATCTTAAAAGTGTAGGTCTTAGAGCAGTGTTTTTCAATTTATTTTTCATTATTGCTCTCCTAAGGACATTTTCCTCCTAATTATTCCTCCCCAACCCCATGAAATTTTAATACCTGTTGTTTTGTATACCTGTTTAGGTACTCTGGCCTTTTAGAGGACCACACACTATTGTAATATCTAAGAAACTTTAGACAACAGCCTCCCCCCCCCCCAACCAATATTTGCTTTTCTGGGGGCGATATGCCCCCATGCATGTCTTAGAGGACTCATAATATATACGCAGTGGAATACTACTGAGCCATAAAAAAAGAATGAAATCCTGCCATTTGCAGCAACATGGATGAGTCTGGAGAAAATTATGTGAAGTGAAATAAGCCAGACAAGGAAAGAGAAATACCGCATGTTCTCACTTATAACTGGGCGCAAAGAAAGAGAGAGAGAGAAACAACAAAAAAAGGACCACAACAATTTGAACTTTCAGGAGAGAACAAACCTAAGGTTATCAGAGATTGGGGGGGGGGGAGGGGGGGGGTTTGGGGGGG